GGCTGAACATGTCGAATGGTGGGCTTCCTCTTCTCTATTTCAGGGAAACAAATTTTGGAAAGATCAATCAAGGGCCAGTCCCCCTCCTTTGGTTTAGGATAAGGAGTAGGCACGCGGTCCTTGACTGATTTCTTCTTCCCTGAGGAAGAAGGTTTCTTGGTCGATTGTCCCTTGTTGGAGACAGCCGTGTGCTTTCTAATTAAGTCCTTAATCTCCCTTTTGAAACTTGCCATGAATTCCATGAGCTCGTTTCAAGCAACAAGAGTTGTGCCTTCTGCCGCCTGGTGCTGTCCAGATGACTGATCAGCTGGGTCGCTTGGACCAACTTGATCTATGCCCTGCTCCTTTATTACCGAGGGACGGGTGTGCCTGGTTCTAAGTGAACCATCAGCAGCTTTATAGGTTTCAACTTCAAAGTCGTCATAAGTGTCATGATTCGAATAGACCTCAAAGTCGTCCATAGGCTACTTCTCATTGGGAGGCGGTACAAGTTCTTGCGAAGCCATCTTAGAAGTACTCTCCCCACAGATGGCGCCAAATGTTTCAGGATTTTTTAGTGTCCGATCCTGCGGGAGAGTTACAATTCCAAGACTGAACTCTAGGCGCCTGTACCTGCAAAACAACAGAGACTCCGGTTGGGTGGAGTTCCGTCTCCGATGATCAAGTTAGAACATGTTCGGATGTAAAAAGTGCGAAAAGTAAATGGGATCAGGTTCCTCTTTGGAGAGAAATGATCATTCGACCATCTCAGACAGCCTCCATATCCAAGTGTAAACTCTGGAGGGTAATTAATGCCGCAGTTAATCCTCTGGTTGTATTCAATGTGTTTCCTTTAAGGAAACATCTCCCTGTTATAGGGTCTCGAAATGCGTGCCCATCCTAGGTTTAGAAACCTTGGATTGACGGGCCTCGGGATTTGGGCCTTTAAGGCCGCCAAATATCTGTTTGCCATGTGTCGTGCCCTGGTAGGTCCACTTTGGGTTATCCTTAGGATGACACGTGGCGGACTCTGATTGGTCCACGTGGCAGACCCTGATTGGTCCACGTGACGTGGTAGAAATCCCCTAATCACTAATAACTAGATCCTAACCTTCAAATAACTTTTCATCACCTTGGGAAAAAATTAACAATTTCAATTAGTATTTTATTGGAAAAATTCACAGCAATAATCCTAACTATGACCCCTCTTCCAATATTAATCCCAACTATAATTTATTCAAGTATAATCCAAATTTTAGCATGTATCTTCTCAAAATGATCTAATTACCGATTGAAACCTTTTGAGCAGATTATCATGCTGCGTGGCAAGTCATGATTAGTGTGATTATTTATTTTTTAATTCATTGCCTCTCTCTTTTCTTCATCTGCCAGCAACCATGCACCCTCTTACTCTCGCCATCAATATTCTCAAACCATTACAGCACCACCATGGTTATTTCCCACCACCACCTCCTTTAGTCTTTTCCAACTCTGGCCAATCTTAGCCTGCTTTTCATCAAAACATCAACACATTCCCAATAATTTTCAAGTTTTGTTTTGATCACTTTTCAAATATTTTTGCGATTTCGGTTTTTTTTTTCCCCGCATAAGGGGTTCTTTTAATTAACTTACCCATTTAATTTCACTATTATTCTATTTAATTCCTTTATTTAGTTTTGGATCAAATAAAATATATAAGCTGTTTGGGCCTAGTCCATTGTCCTAAGCCCAATGACTTTAAATGACAAAAGTACCCCTCTATGATCTAGCCCATCATTAATCATTACAAAGTATAGATTTGCTCTTAATCTGTCCTCTCAAGTACAGGTTTGTCACCTGAAAAGTACATCTATAAATAGCTTATCTTTCATTAATGATGGGGACTTTTCTGATTCTCTCTCCTTCTCTCTCTACTTTCCCTCTCTAAATACACTCTCTCTAGAAAGTACACTCGCTGACTTAAGCATCGGAGGGGCCTTTCCGAGTCACACCTCCGAGGCAGCTAATCTTCTCTGTTTTGCAGGCGGAGCTCCCAAGACATACCTTTGCTAGGTGGAGCCGAAGGACATTTAGACAATACTTAGACTTAATATCTAGGACATTTGATACCATACGCTAGCACTCCGAAGAGTACTCAGAAACATAAGCCGTACACTATCAATGACAATGTGACTGTTGTAAGAGAGTCCAATTAGTCGGGAAATAAGGTGGGAATTTTGCAGAAGTTTGTGGAAGAAGTGCATGCCGGTGGTCAACGTTGCTTCAGTATTTTTGATGACTTGATGTTGCTAGTGAAATGGTTGGTTGCCTCTCAAAGTTGATGCTCTTGAGAAATTAGAAAAGGTGGAATTAAAGTTTAAATGTTGAAATTACAGCAGACATGGTGGATATGGTGATTTGTTTGGTTTGGTAGGGCTGTATTAGAGGAGTGATGGTGGGAATTATTTGTTACTAGAGAGAATGACCCATCCCTCGAGAATGTTCCTACTCTTGATGAAACTTTGCTGGATAAGGGAGTGATCTTCTTGTGGGTAGGGACGCCTCTTATGCTACTGACAATGTGCACAAGTCATTTTTGTCATCTTTGGAGGAAGCTCAGCATAGTGTGGTGGAAGGAAGTAAGAGCATGCACATCGGTGAGGAGCAACCCTCCTCATAACTCTCTCTCTCCTCTTGTGAGCTAGCTTACCATTGCAATGGGTGACTCATTACATACTCTCACTAAGAGGTAGCAACCTCTGAAGCGTGACTGACATTTGCTGTGAGTTGTCGACTTCTTTAACAAAGGAGTCTGATTTTTTTTTGAAGTCCAATTATCACATGACACTTGTCATGAATATGAGAAGTTGTATTGCTATTTTCTTGAGATGCTGTAGAATGCAACGACTCTTTATATCTTTTACACTCAATATTGCAATTATTGCTCTAACGGTAATTTTTCAATTCATTTTAACATATTCGAAAAATTAATTTCTCCAACGGTATACTTATAATTTTATCTATAAATAGAGCCTAATATTGATATAGTTTTTTCACCCTTAAAATTTCACCCTTCTATTTTTCATTATAAAAATATTTTGTGATTATGGATCTTAATAATCCTAATTACGAAAGTGGTTCCTCTCAAAATAATCCAAATAACTAATCTTCCAATTCTCCAAATTTCCAAAGTAATTTTCATTTTGATCCAAATAACCCTACTAATCCAAATGCTCAAAGAATGTTATTTTATAACATTCCTAACCAACCAATGCATCCAAACCAACAATTTCTACAACAATTTCCAAATCAATTTCCAAACCAAAATTACACACAACAATTCTCAAACCAAAATTTGCAACAAATTCCCCAAAATTATCCATCTGGTTTTATGTTCCCGATGTCACAACATTATGGTGTGAACCAAATAATTCAAAATAGTCCAACAACTCCTGAGGGAGAAAGAAGCAGTAACTTAACCCCACCCGATGATCCAAGGGTTCCATAACAAGGTAATGATGATGTTGACGGTGTAGGTGATGATGATGTTATCGAAGCTCCCCACGGGAGCAACACTGTTGTCAGGGCAGAAAAATGGGGTGCAAAAGAAGATGATACGCTCGTTTCGGCTTGGGTAGAATGTTCAGTTGAAGATCCAGAGACGGCAACAGATCAAAGTTTGGCCGTAATTTGGAGGAACATACAATCCCTTTATGATCAAGCCAGAGAAGAAAATCCATCCACCATGCGCCCTAGAACTTTAAGATCTATGAAAAGTCGGTGGGCAAGAATAAATAAAGATGTGAGTACATGGGTTGGTTGCTATAGTGAAGCAAAAAAAAGGTATATGAGTGGTACCAACGCTCATGATAAAATGACCGAAACTCATGAAATATATAGAGGGACGTGTAATGGTTCACGCTTTGGTTTAATTGGTTGTTGGGAGATGTTGAGAGAGTTAGACAAATGGAAGTCAATAGCCTGGATTTACCTTCTAGTGATGGTGGCAATTCGAAAAGATCAGAACCAGATACTCCAACTGATGAAGGTCCAAAACCTCATACTCGTCGCCGTCGTCCTGACGGGGTGAAAGCATAAAAAAGAAAAGGTAAATCTATTGTCAATTCTGGAATTCAAATAGGGGGTAGTTCTGAAATTAAAAATTTAGAGTCGTTTATCGAAGCCCTATTAGAGATGAATGCGATGAAAGGTCAACACAAAGATGTTGATGAAAGGCGAATTGATGTAGCAGAACGTATGCTAGAGTATCAAAAGGAGCGAGATGCCATCAAAGCTCGAAAGAAACAAGAAGAAAAAAGGTTCAAGCTATTTAGTGTCCTTGCAAAACCAATTCTATCTGAAGAAGAAAAGGAAATATATCTAAAATTAAAGCAAGAATTTGCACATCTTCTAGGCTAGTTTAAATATCAATTAAGGTAGTCAAACTACATGTGTATTATTCTAGTTTTAATTGATGTAATGTTACTTATGTTGTTTTGACAATTTCCACTACAAGAAACAGGCTGTATAGCGACGGAATTTCCACTACGAAATATGCGTAATTTAAATGCTCTTTGTTTATTACCCAATAAATTATTTCTTGTAAATAATAATATAAAATTAGCTCCATAATGAGAAATGTTGTAAAATATGACCGACATGCAATGCTACATTGAAATGTCACATGTTGACAGAAAATCTGTAAGCAATATCAGAGAATCTCTTCTTTTGCTGTTATGTGTACCCATACATTGAATTGTTATACAAAAGAAATCTACAAACCTTATCAGAAATGTAATCTTTTTGAGTTGTTTATCCATTCAATGAATTACCAATGTAAAAAATCTGTAAACCTTATCGAAAATCATATCTCTTATACTTGTGTGCCCATATATCATAATAATTACTAGTTATTTGTTTTGAATAATTTTAGAAGTTATAAATAAGGGGGCTACACTTCATATTTCAATACATAAATATAAGTATTATTTCTACATAAAAAAAAAACCTCTCTCTTCCGCTCTACCAAAAAATATTACAAAATGAACTCTGATTCAAATTCTTCTAGTTCATCTAGTTCAGGGTTATTTGATTACATGGTGAACGACTATGTAGAGTGGCATGAATCAATTACCCAAAGGCGAAAAGAAGATGAATTTATCGAGGAAGCGATCAATATAGCTGTTGTTCCCTTTGTAACATCACCTTACCAGGTCCCCTTCACTCTTGAACCTACGTACCAAAGGTGGTATGTACCAAGAGATCGAGAATATGCTGATATTCAGTTATATAACGATTACTTTAGTCCCCAACCATTGTACCCTGATAATATGTTTCGTCAACGGTTTCGCATGCGTAAGAATGTGTTCACACGCATTGTTAATAAACTAAGCGAAAGTGATGTTTACTTTCAACAAAGGCCGAATGCCACCGGAAGACTAGGTGCATCCCCCCTCCAAAAATGCACTGCAGCAATTCGAGCATACGGTACATCTGCCGATGCAGTTGACGAGTATCTTAAAATTGCGTCAAGTACTGCAAGAGAAGGTCTTGCTCACTTTGTTGAAGGGGTCGTAGCTCAATTTGGACCAGAGTACTTGAGGAGAGCGAGTAATATGGATACTGAACGACTCCTCCGTGAAAGTTATGTTCGTGGATTTCCTGGTATGATGGGCAGCATTGATTGCATGCATTGGGAGTGGAAAAATTGTCCGCGTGCATGGAAAGGAATGTATCAAGGTAGAAGTAAAACAACAACGGTGATCTTGGAGGCTGTTTCTTCGCAAGACTTGTGGATATGGCATGCTTTTTTTGGCACTCCAGGTTCTTGTAATGATATAAATGTCCTCCAACGGTCGCCGGTGTTCTCTGATATATGTGAGGGAAAAGCTCCAGAGGTTACCTTCAATGTCAATGGAAATACATACAATATGGGTTATTATCTTACAGACGGTATCTATCCGAAATGGGCAACATTTATCCCAGCAATCAAACATCCACAAACTGGTAAGCACAAATTATTTACCAAGAACAGAGAGTTATCGAAAGGACGTTGAACGTGCCTTTGGAGTGTTACAAGCTCGATTTGCAATAATACGTCAACCAAGTCTAGCATGGTCGACCAAAATTTTATGGAAAATCGTAATGGCTTGTATTATCATGCACAATATGATTGTTGAAGATGAGCGAGATGGATATTTGCATTATGATGCAACTGAATTTATCAATGATCAACCGCAAAATTTAGCTGGATCACCAACTGGTAACAACAACCAACCATTTACCGTGAGAAGTGGACGATTGGATAGGCTCAATCTAAATGGTTATATGGAAAATAGAAATAATGTTCGTGATAGGGAGACCCATATTGCACTAAAAAATGACTTGGTTGAGCATATATGGGGACGTTTCGGCAACGAATGAAGAGATGACCAAAGTCGTTGTTAATGAACATTGTATTTTAATTTTTAATAGATGTCTTTGCTATATAAGCTATGTTATTTAAATATTATATTATTTTTGTACTTTTCATTTCAAAAATTAGAAAAAAAATTGAAACAACTTACATACACAAGTGATTATTAATATTGTTCTATTTAAAATGCTCTAATTAAAAAGAAAAAAATTAACAATGTTTAACTTTTTTAATTAATTATGTAAGTTCAAAAATTACAAATAAATAATAGAGAGTAATACATGTTTTAAAAAATAATAAATAAAACAAGAGTGAGAAAGAATAAATGATGGGGTAGTATAAAAAAATTAGGAGAGAGAATGGTGAGTAACCTCACCATTGTAGATAAATAATTAAGGTGACTTATACTAGTAGCTGAAGATAGTGGAAAGTGAGGTTGAAGATGATTTGGAAAAGAGATAAATAAATAAGGTGATTTGCATAGGTGTGAGTAACCTCACCAATGCTCATGCTCTAAGGGTGTGAAGAGTGGGGGTGTTGACATTGTCACGGGATTTTTTACTAGTACTGATGGGCCTTTTGTGTTTTCGTGTGGAGCCTCTACTGAAAAATCGTAGAGTAGGAACGTCAAACAGGTTGCATGTAATCAGGGACTTGAGTACGTAAGTATGGAGATTGATGAAACTGCTAAATTTTGCAGCTTGGTAAGCATAAATTTAAGCTTACTAATGACATTGCAGTAATAGGGAATGATATTGGGGGGCCTAAGAGAGTGAGGGGCTCCATGATGTTAATGTTGGGGTGATTTCCACTCAAGTAAGAAAGGTTGGGTGTAGCCAACTCCGCGAAGGATAATGAAAATCTTTAGTTGGAACTGCTTTGGGCTTGGCAATCCATTGTCAGTTAAGGCTCGAGATCGGCCAAACATTATTTTTGTGATGGAAACAAAAATTGGTAACTGTAGATTGGAATTAATTCATAATAGGAATGGTTACTCAAATGGTATCTGTCTAAGTAGTGAGGAGAGATCAGGTGGTTTGGGAATGCGGTGGAAGGAGATAGATGTTAATGTGTGTTCTTTCTCGGCTCACCATATTGAGGTTAATGTTTGTGATGACAATGATGTTCCGTTGTGGAAGGCAATTGGTGTGTATGGCTGGCTTAAAACTGAGAATAAACATAAAACTTGAGATTATTGAGGAATCTAAAGGCTAATAGCTCTCTTCTTACGCTATGCTTCGTAGACTTTGATGAAATCTTAGGTATGAATGAAAAGAGTGGTGGTGCTGTGAGAGGCAAACTTTTGAAGTGTGGTAGATGATTGCGTGTTTCGTGATCTTGGCTATAGGAGTAGTATATTTACTTAGCAACGAGGCACTACGGTTGAGACATTGGTGAGAGAACGCTTGGATATATATCTTGCTACGAGGGATTAGTGTTCTCATTTCCTTTACTAGGAGGCTCTTAAATTCCCACTTTGTCACTCTGACCACTCGGCAATCCTTCTCAGGTTTGGGGAAAAAAATGAGAGGGACAAGAAAGGGAAGATATTTTTCTTTGAGGTACTTTGGCTCTCGAATGAAGATTGTAGGAAGGTTGTGTCCGAATCATGGCTACTTGGTATGATCAATCCAATACACCACATAATGGCGAGATTGGCAGAAAGTCTTTCTTCTTGGGCTGCTGCAACTTTCGGTGTTATAAAAAAGAGCATAAAAAAAATGTTGTTCAGTGTTTACATGATATCCAAGGGGACCAACTTGACGCAAGACTGCTTAGACAATGTAATGCTATCTGTGATGAAATTGATGAACTTCGCAGACTTGAGGAGTCGTATTGGTACTCAAGGGCACGTGCAAATGAGCTTCGGGACGAGGACAACAATACTAAGTACGTACTTCCAACATAAAGCTAGCCAGCGTAGAATGCGCAACTCCATTATGGGTTTGTATGATGACAACAAAAATTGGAAGACTTTGAAAAAAGGGATGGAGTTGAGGTTGTTATCTTAGATTATTTTGGGAAGCTCTTCGCGTCGTACAATCCAAGTGAGTATAAGACAACTATTGAGGGTATCAAGTCTCTTTTGACAGAGGATATGGGGGCGAAGTTGGAAACATAACCTACCCAGGGGGTGGAATTCGAGCTGCTCTTTTTCCAGTGCACCCTAATAAAGCTCTGAGGCCGGATGGAATGCATACATTGGTTTTTTAGAAGTTTTGGAGCACTGTGGGAAATGATATTTTTTGGTTTTTGAAGGAGTGATGGAGGGGCGAGGTGAATCTTAATGAGGTAAATTGCACTTGTATTGTTTTAATTCCGAAATGTAATGATCCGGTTAGAATGAATGACAGAGTTTAGACCCATTAATTTGTGTAATGTGCTCAATAAAATTATTTCTATAACTCTTTCAAATAAATTGTATCGATGCTTGGATCAATTATTTCAGTAAATCAGAGTACTTTTGTCCCTAATCGCTTGATCATAAATAAGGCTCTTATTGCTTTTAAAGTTTTCCACTTAATGAAAAGAAGGGAGGGGCGGAATGGTGTTTGTTAGGGTAAAAAATACCCTAACACGTGGTCCAATCCCATAGTGACACGTGGCCCAATTAAAGGGAGAAACGTGTCACTATAGGAAGATGACACGTAGCAACCCTAAGAGCACCTTAATGAGATAAAGACCTCCTTACATCAGGATGCCCAAATCCCAAGAAAGTCGTAAAACGGCGCCCCCAAAGGACACGTATCCTTATTTGATTACGCCGCCAATCAGAGCCCAGCGTTTTAGGGCACTAGCTCTAATGTGGCACACTTTCCCGCCCTTATAAATACCCCAATCATTTATGATGGGAGTGGGGATTAAGACATCATTCAAGAGCATTGAAACAACTTCTCTCTACTTTCTCTCTCTACATTACTTCGTTTTCCTGTCACTAACTTGATTGTCGGAGGCGAATATTCCGTCAATCGGAATATTCGTTTTTTTGCAGGTGTCCGAGTCAATCCGGTCGTGTTCAAGACTTGTATCCCGAGGGATTCCAAAAAAAACCCTGAAACATTTGGTGCCATATGTCGGGATACACGTTTGAAATGGCTAAAGATGGTCAGACACTTGGTCCTGGTGAGGACGGGAATGTAAAGAATATAATCGCCACAATCAACTTTAGCGATCCTTTTACCGCTTCATTCCATGAGGCGGAGGATCCCCCGGTCATAGCTGCTTTCTTGAAGGCCTTCTTCTTCTTCTAGACAGCTGTGAGTAAGATCCCCTCTTCTTCTAGACAGCTGTCCATAAGAGAAGGCGAGGGTGTCCGAAAGAAACCTCAGGCCAAGACGGCCAACAATGTGGATGCTGGGAACACCCCATTCAGACGACATGCAAGGTCACCAAGGGTGCCCCGGATGAACTGGTCCAGGCTCCTTCAGAAAACACAATCGGCTGGGAGGCAGACTTAGCAGCCAAAGAGGAAGGCGAATGAAAGGAATGGTGTCCTTCCAACAAGTGTATTATTCCAATAGAGGGTTTAGAATTATTAAGCAAATTCTTCAATGAGGTCAAGTGATCAGAATGCCTAGGTGGAGGCCGCTTCCGATCAGTAATATTAATGTATAATTAATATTACAGCTTAATCTTGACTAAACCCTTCGTGTCACACCCAATCGAGTAACCGATCCGAGGCGACGAATTAATCCGAAAGTATTAGATGAGTCGTTAGAGTATTACGAACAAAGTCGTCGGATATCGAGCTTGAGCGTCGAAACTGAGCGTCGCAAGTCGAGTGGAGTTTAGAATTCGACGAGACGGGAAATCAAGCAAGCGACAAGTTTGAGCTAGGCCACCTCGCATTGGCCTAGCCATGCTAATGTGCTAGGCCACCTCGCATTGGCCTAGCCATGCGAGTGCTAGGCTAGCCTAAGCTACCATGCGCATCGCAAGGCATGTTGTATGCCTATCATGCGTTGCGTGCTAGACCGAGCATGCTAGCGAGGCTGGTGCACATGGCCGCAAGCATGCTAGCAGCAAGCGCATGCTAGCGTGTTCGTATGCTGGGCCACGCTCCCAGCCGCAAGCATGCAACGCATAGCACTCGCACAGCAGCACGCTATGCGTGCTTGTGCTATGGGCTGTGCAAGCGTGCTTGCTAGCGAGAAGCACCAGGTAGCAGCATCGCAGCAGCATGCTATGCGTGCTGGGCTGTGCATGCGTGCTTGCTAGCGTAGTAGCACCAAGAAGCACTCGCTACTCGCACAATAGCGCGCACCAAGCAGCAGCAGCAGCGCATGCATGTGCTGGCTGGCTGGGCTGCCCAGCCTTGGTGCTAGGCGCCAGCTGGTAGCCTTGGCAGCCAAGGTAGGCTGCTAACCAGCCAAGTAGCGTGGTCAAACCCAGTTAAGGGAGGGGACTATTGCTTGGTGTTTGGCTTGGGGAACAAGGTGTTTTGGTCCCCCCTTTGGTGGTCCTCACCAACCTTTTCCCTCCATGTGACACTTGGAGGTTGTTGACTGCTTTGCATTTTAATTTGTTTTTTGATTAAAATAAATTGGTGGAAAAATGCAATTCTCCCACATTGATGGGAGAAGGGAGATGAAGTCTCCTTTCCCTATAAATACCCAAGTTTTTGGTTTGGGAAAAACCACT